TCATTAGACTGGGGTTATGGGTTTTTGGAAAGAAGACCACAGAGGTAAAGTGCCATTCTCATCATATCATATCAAGGGGACATACTATCAACATGACTTATAATTGTTGATGTTAATCTTGATCACCTGACTGAGGTAGTGTTTTAAGTTTTCTCCAATGTAAAGTTATTCTTTTTTCCTCCCCCCTTTTTCTAATATTCTAAATTTATTTATTTTAATTATTACTTTTTGTCTGTGCTGGGTCTTCATTGCTGCATGTGGGCTTTTCTCTAGTTGTGGCGAGTGGGGTCTTCGTTGCAGTGCGCAGGCTTCTCATTGCCGTGGCTTCTCTTGTTGCGGAGCACGGGCTCTAGGTGCGCGGGCTCAGTAGTTGTGGTGCACGGGCTTCTCATTGCAGTGGCTTCTCTTGTCGCAGAGCATGGGCTCTAGGCATGTGGGCTTCAGTAGTTGTGGCACGTGGGCTCAGTAGTTGTGGCACGTGGGCTCAGTAGTTGTGGCACACGGGCTTAGTTGCTCTGCGGCATGTGGGATCTTCCTGGACCAGGACTCGAACCTGTGTCTCCTGCACTGGCAGGCGGATTCTTAACCACCGCACCACCAGGGAAGTCCTCCCCCTTTTTTTGAAAGGAAATTACTATGTGCAACCCTCACTTGAGGGGTGGGGAGTTAGGTTTCACATAAAATTATTTGGAATTCTTCTACATGGGAGATTTGTCTATTTTCCACCATTTATTTATTCAATAATTTATATTAGGATAGACTCATGGACATTTATTTTATACTTTTATATGTCCCCATTGTTGAATTTTTTTATTTTTAATTTTGTTATTAAAACCACTGCCCCACCAGGGAAGCCCACTAACTCCTTTTTTAAAACTTCAGATATAAATCGGTGTGAGTTCTCTAGGGCTGCCATTACAAAGTACCACAATCTCGTTTTAAACAGCAGAAACTTATTCTCTCATAGTTCTGAAAGCTAAAACCCCAAATCAAGGTGTTGACAGGTCATGTTCCCTCCAAAGCCTCTAGGGGAGGATCTTGCTCCCCCAGCTTCTGGTAGGCCAAAGCCTTTCTGGGCTGTGGCAGCATAATTTCAGTCTCTGCCGCCATCTTCACATGTCTGTCTTCCCTCTGTGTCTGTGTGTCTCCTTGTCTTCCAATGGCATTCTCCTCTTCTTACAAGGACACTAGTCAAATTGGATTAAGGTCCCACCCTACTCCAATATGACTTCACTGTAACTATTTATTTACATTTGTAATGACCCTATTTTCAAATAAGGTCACATTCTGAGGTACCAGGGCTTAAGACATCTATTTGGGAGACATAATTCAACCCATAACAAATTCACATACCACAGAATTCATCCTTTTAAAGTGTTCTTTTCTGTGGTTTTTACTATATTCACATGGTTATGCAACCAACACCACTATCTAATTCCAGAACCTTTTCCACATTCCAAAAAGAAACCCCATAGCCATTAGCAGTCACCTTCCCCTCCAATCTTCCTCAGCTCCTGACAACCAGTAATTTACTTTGTTTATATGGATTTGCCTATTCATAAATATTTCATATCAATGGACATTTCATTAAATGGAACCATATAACAAGAGGCATTTTATGTCTAGCTTATTTCACTTAGCATACTGTCTTTAAGGTTCATCCACATTGTATCATGTATCAGTACTTCATTCCTTTTATGGCTGAATAATATTCCATTGAATGGATATACCAATTTTGTTTATATATTCATGAGTTGATGGACACTTGGGTTGTTCCCACTTTTTGGCTATTATCAATAATTCTGCTGTGAATATTCATGTACAAGTTTTTGCATGACTGTTTTTAATTCTTTCATACCTAGGAGTGGAATTGCTGGATCATATTGTTAATTATGTTTAATTTTTTGAGAAACTGTCAAACTGTTTCCAAAGCAACTGCACTAAATTCTCAGCAGTATAAGAAAGTTCTAATTTCTACACGTCCTCCCCAACACTCGTTATTGTCTTTTTGATCACAGCCATCCTAGTGATCAAGTGAGGTGGTATCTCATTGTGGTTTTGCATTTCCCTCATGAATGAGGATACTGAGCATCTTTTCATGTGTGTATTAGCCATTTGTATGTCTTCTTTGGAGAAATGTCTGTTTTAACTCTGCCCATTTTAAAATTGAGTGTCTTTTCATTGTTGAGTTTTGAGAGTTCTTTACATATGCTGGATATTCTCTCTCTCTCTCTATATATATATATTTAGCTATGATTTGCAATTTTTTTTCTCCCATTCTGTGGGTTGTCTTTTCACTTTCTTATAATGTTGTTGTTTTAATATTTATTTATTTTGGCTGCATCAGGTTTTAGTTGCGGCATGCAGGATCTTCACTGCAGCATGCACACTTCTTAGTTGTGGCGTGCATGCGGGATCTAGTTCCCCAACCAGGGATCGAACCCAGGGCCCCTGCATTGGGAACGCAGAGTCTTACCCACTGGACCATCAGGGAAGTCCCGTCTTTTCACTTTCTTGATGGTGTCCTTTGAAGCACAAAAGTTCTTAATTTTGATGAAGTCCAGTTTATCTTTGGACTTCAAAGATAAAGCCACTTGTGCTTTAGGTGTCATATGTAAGATAAATGGTTTAGGTATATGTTTGCCCAGAAACAGACAGTAGGTGATTTCTGGAAGTTCCAGTACTATGTTAAGCATATAAATCAAACAACTAAAGGAACATTTTCATATTGTAGAAAATGCTACAAAAATTTTTATACAAAATTGAGAACTCAGAATGGTCACATTATTACTGAAAAGAGAAAGCATTTGCAATGAAAACTATAGCAAATGGCAGAGTCACAATACAGCTGACTGGGGAATAGGAAGTACATGTTCTAACCATTTCTCATCTGATATTGACTCAAAAGAGTGTGTTGACTGCTGAAACAAAAGCATTTCCATAATTTAGCAAATCTGTTTTTACGAAGCTTTTGTGTTTAAACGAAGGCCTAGATGATGTGTTTCTAGTACCTGACACTACTAGGGAGGAAAAGGTAGGAGAAAACAAGTCACCCTGGCAATTCAGGGAGCAGTGAGCACTCTTCCAGCATTTGATTGCAAACTACAAGGCCCAAAGCTTTGTTAAGATTAGAAACAAATAACTAACAGAGAAATGTTGGGACTTATAGGCTCGTTGTTCACCAGAGAGCATCAGTTTTGGTTGCATATGAATGTTTTGTTTTTTTTTTTCTGAGGACACTTGTACTAGCCCAATAACAACACTAACTAACAAAACTGCTTTTGCTGTGTCACTGGCATACTTTAAATTGCTTTAAAAAAAAATCTCACTTGTTTTGTTCTTTCTTGGAATGTTTTATGTTATAAAGCAGTCCACACTGCTGATAGGTGTGTGTATATGCATATGTGTGTGTGTGTATATATATATATATATATATATATATATATATATATATATAGTGTGTGTGTGTGTCTAAAGTTTTTTTGCATCTAGATTTTTTTTCAGAGAAAAGTATTAAATTTTGATCCCATTAAGCAAAGCATTGTCAACATTAGTTTTTCATTGGTAGAAATGACCTCTTAAATTTTCTTAATAGAATCCTTTAAAAAAATAAGTATTTTCTGAAATATTTTGTCAGAGAACGATATGTGGATATGTGCTAAGAATGCCTATTAAGTAATTAGAATTTTCTCCAAGTAGTCAGTGGAATCATTTTATAATGTCCTAAGTAGAACAGCCAGGAGTCCTGAGCAAATAGAAAGGCAATTAAAGGAAGCTAGCTCCTTTGAATTTACAGAACCTAGGATTGTATTTGTGGTCTGTACTGGATACATTCCAGCTCTACATCACAACACAAAATTTCCCATTTCCTCAAAGCTAAAAGCCGAGGCATCAGCTAAGTAGATTGATAAACAGGAAAGTCAAGATAGGCACAGTTCATTAAACTGTCAGCCAGCAGTTGAATAACCATATTTCTGATAAACTGAGGTCTTGCAAGGGTTAACAAGTTATTTGTAAAGAGGAAAGTACATTCAACTGATGGAGAAAATGCAATATATGTAATTACCTTGATTCTACAATTATGTTAACAGGACTCTGAAAGATACATATAGGCAGACTACTGAAGCTTTAAGACTGTTAGCATAATATAATCATTAAACGGCCAGAAATGATTCAACATTTTAACTATAGTTTTTGGGTAGTATAGACTTTATTTCATATATTGTTAGTTTTGTATTAACATTATCATAGTTTATTAGCTTGAGGATTGAAATTTCGTCCCTCAAAATGTAAACTAATATTGTAATAAAAAGACAAAGCGAATTCTTCTCTTCAAAATTAACGTTACAAAAGACTCTTAGGTTATACATTTATTCCGTCAAGTATGTATTATTCTCTAAGCCTGTACCATATGATATTCCTTCCAGGAAGTCCATCTCAGAAGCGTCAGTTTTCTTCCCTGGGTTCCCAAAGCACTATCCTTGTATCTCTTTTATAGCACTTATTTGTATCTTTTAAAGTGCCTTAATGTTCCTTTTAGGTGGGCAGTGAAGTTTGATTTATAGAAGTAGAAATTTTGCTTCGGATGCTCTATTTATAGAAATCTGGTCTTTCTGATGTTACTTTATAAGTTTTTCCATGATAAGCTTTTAAATAGTGGGTTAAATAAAATGAGACTCAACTAGTAGTTTGGGCTGTATTTCTTCCCTCAGAAAAACATAAAGCTCAAGCAAACATTATGTATACCACTTTGTTTCATCCAAGTTGCTCATCAACACATTAAATTTGTAAAGAATTACCAAGTTAAAGTGCAACTGCTTTATAACAACTGGAGACTTGTTAAAATAAAACAGATGTAAAGAATTTTTGATGTGTTTTTCAGTCTTAACTATTCACCTTTAAACAAATCAGAACTTATATCAACAACTAATCATGTAATCATTATTCCCATTGAAATTGTAGACGTCACAAATTTTTCCCACTTTTTCCTGTTGTATTAGCCAGAAAACTTTTGGTGGCAATTTGGAGAAATATTAAATGAAAATATCTTCAACTAGGAGTGAAGAAAGCTCTGGAAGGAATGTGGAACAGTGAAAGAAGAGAAAAGCTTTACCTTGATAGAATCAGGACCACCAACGGACCTTTTCTGTCTCTAGCTTGGAACCTGGGATCAGAAAGGTGGGTTCAAGTCTCAGCCGTTAAGCCTTAATTTCTGTATCAGTAAGGGTATCTTTACTAATTCAATATTGTATTAAACAAGATGATACATTAAAAAAAGCCTATAGAATTGTGCCCAACTCAAAGTTCCTAATTCCATGACACTGGACATATTTTTTCGCAACTATTGATATTCATATAGCACCTTTAAATCCAAACAATTCGGGATACCAGGTCACTAAATGAGGAGCAGAAATCTTAATGTTTAAGAACAAACTAAATGAAATAAAAAACAATACAAAAGAAACAAAAAAATTAAAAAACTATATCCTGAGAATATCCCAGTCCAGCATTTGCCTTGGCAAAGGAATAAATTTCTCAGCTCAAATTCATCCTACACCAGTACAGTTCAACAGTTTTTTAAGTGTCTAGTTGATGCCACACAGGCAGTTACAGAAGACAAAATTTCTCCCTTTAAGACACAGTCTAAAAGGGAGTATTAAAATGCAATGTGATGTTCAGTGCATAGAATAATATATAAAGTACTGCAGGAACACAGATGAAGAAGCAGTTACATTTGCTTGGTTTGAGAGGAGGGTAAGAAGCGTTAAGGAGTTATCAAGGGGAAGTGACATTTAAACCAGGCCTAAAAGGACTGGGAGTCAGCCAGATAGAACAAGGGAGAGAAGGGCATTCAGGTGAAGGAAACAATAATGAGTATACAGTCAAATTCATAGAGATAATTAGAAAGACAAAGAATGCAAACCATTTTAAAGAATGTTCCAAAGAAAGGGCTCCCCTCAGAAAACAGGCTAAGTTTCAGAGAAAATATTATTTGCTCCACAGAAATGATTTTCTGCACTCTGTGAGACTAACCAGTCATCTTTTGTGAGTAAAATAATTTCAAATACAAGAATGATAAAGAAAATTAGCTTTATTTATGTAAATTAGAAAAACTGATTGTAGTGTTAGAATTTGTCAAATGCTTTCATTCTGAACGATTTACAAGTGTATTTATATACAAACATAATAAAATAGAGTACCATCACATTGCTTTCTCTTGACTCCAAGTGTCTCTCCATTCTGAACATGCCCCTCTCACTTCGGGTTTTAATTTTTAACAGGGAAATGCTTTGTTCTGACACAGTGCTTGATTCACACAGTATAACACTGAAGTGGAAGGAGAGTCAATGACCATCAATAATTAAAAATTATCCTTCAACCAATATGACTTTATCATTAGATTTTTTCTATATTAAAATATGTTTCATGTTAAAAAAAACATACTTGTATTCACTGAGGATCTAAATTTGTTGTACTAAATTTGACATTTATATAAACCCATAGTTAATTTAAATATAGATATGAATCTATATTAAACTCATTGGTATGAATGTTTGCCATAAATGAAAATGATGAAAATTATTAGAAACAGAGGTAAAAGAAAATCCATGTGAGAAATTGAAGTGGAAATGCCCTATTCTATTTAAAATGACTAAAATTTCAATTTTCTGAACTCAATACAAATAAAACCAATAGATGGTAAAAAGCCATGATATTTATAGACGCCAAATCTTAAGTCACACTGTAGGGCATTAAATAATTTGTACTATTACATATTTTAGATAATTCTAAACCAAGTTTCCTAAATAGCTTGCCAATCATTTACGTTGTTTGAGAAATCCAAGAAAGTCTAATACAATTATTGAATAAGGCCGAATTTTAAACTGGCAATCGAGATACAACATAAATGCAGATAATGTATATTAGAGTCAGATTTATATATGTCATAGTACTATGTGTGTATGGACTATTAGAAGAAATAAATTTTGTTTTTAAAGCAGTGGTTGGTTTTCTAAGTTTAGTTCTTTAGCACTTTATTGAAATTCCTGGCAAGAATTCTGACAGAGCTCTGTGATTTTATTATATGAAAGAAGGAAAAAAAGAAACCCACAAAAAATGTTAAGTTTGCTGTGACTTTTCAAAGCAATTTAAGTTAAAACAAACAGCCTCCAAGTGCACTTGTGTCTAAAATGCCACTTTTGCCCCCAAAGTGAAAGAAATGATCAAGTATTGTGTTAAGGTGCTTACTATTCAAAAAAAACATCAGAGGAAGTTGGTCTTTAATTGGATGCTTGAATTCTTTCCAGAGTTCTTAGTATGTTTAGATGTTGGTATCTTGAGTTTGACACTTTCTTGATTGCCCTTTATAGCAGTTTCAAGGCGGGCTTTCAAGGCTGGGGAGGAAGCCATTACACTTTTAAAAACTGATGAATACTGAGGCCCAATCTGCATGAGATTTTGCAAAGCAAAGTCATGTAGATTTCTCATTATGGAAGTTGCTGATCCCAGAGCATTCTCATCCAAAAGGAAGGAAATGAGGATGGGCAGAAGACAGGCCACCAGCTGAGAGCCTGGAAAGTAAACAAATGATGTAAGCCCCAGGTTCAGGGATGTAAATGTTTCTTATACACTTGATCTGGACATATTTCCCCCACTTGAAGGGAAGCAGTTCTTCCAATCTCTTCTCCCAAATTAATACAAAACAGTATCAATACTGTTGATTGATTAACATCAACACCTGCCTTTCCACGAGTGTGAAAATATAATGCTAAGTGACTAATGGGATGTTTTACATTTTAAATAACATTAAATTTCTGATTTTGGACAGATTCTGATTTAGTATGCATTTAGTGCTAGCACTTACGATGCTGTTCCTCAGCAATGGCTACCAGTGCTTCCAAGACCTTTATGCCTTCTTGAAAGATCTGAAGCTCAGTAGTGTCTTCAGGTTTTCTTTTGTCTATTTCCTGCAGTTTTTCCACGATAGAGGATACTAAAGAGTAAATGTACGGGTAGGAAACAGCTGGATTCGGATACTGAAAAATGGAAAGTAGGAGCTGATAGGTCTTGATTTGTACCTGATCAGAAAAAAGACAAAAATAGTGTAAACTGTAAATATAAATTTACATTTATATTAAAATGTAAGTTTTAATGTAAATTTTTAAAGTAAATTAAAAAATGTAAATGAAAAAAATTTAAAGCCTCCCCTCCCACACTTAAATTTATTTTATTTCTAATTTATCTTTAATTTTGGAAGTCCAAGCACTAACAGGTATTCAAACTTGCATGCTAACAGTGGTTGTGACAGCTTGGAGTGGGAATAAAGTGGTTAATTTTTCTTCTTTTGACTAGTTTCCATTTTCCCCCTCATTTGTCTCTCTATAACGTAAAAAATCAAACAAACACACAAACTCGAAAAATATTTTGGAGATTTTGGAAAATGTTTTAGATGAAAATCACATATATTTGATGCTATGAAGGTTTTAAGGAACCATGTCTGGACCATATTAATTATGTGTCATCACATACTGGAGGCACCACTTTGAGACTGCTACATAAAGCTCCTGTTAGGCTAGAGGAAACAAACAGGACAGGAGAACAGAAGGAGATGACTATACAGCAAACATATAAACCATCCTTTATTCATTTGAATGATTATTTTTTTTCTGAGAGAAAATCTGGTTACTAAATTTTAGGAGTCTATTTGTGATCATGTGCTACAAACTTATTTTGTACCACATAACAGCGTAGGAAATTAATTTAGCAAATAAAAGGGCCAGAAAGGAATGGGATTAATTTGTATATGCTGCTTTTGAAATAGGTCCCATTATTTTACAGTCATATACTGAAGGCACATGCTAGAGTCTTCCTTTCCTTTTTTTTTTGAAAGGAAATCCACTGAAGTTCTAGGGATATATCAATTTTAAGATGCCCCTATTTCAAATTTAGGTTTGTTTTTTTTTTTAATTTTTTAAAAAACATTTTCTTTATCTTTCTCCAACTAACTACATTCCATCCTCAGGGCCAAAAAACAAGACCATTATTATTTGACTTTGTCAACCCAAGAACATGAATTAATCCAAACCTAAAAATAAATTTCAGTCTGGTACTTTCTGTTGGAATCAACAAAATCATAAGGAAAAGTTTTGCAAAAGCCTAAACATGTTCCTATTACAAACATCTATCTTCTAAACACACTTACCATAGGATCTTTTATCTCAAGAGTAGCCTTAAATTTCTCAATACAGCGCTTCTGAAGGCATGGGATCGTAGTTACTTCTGGACTGGTAGACAAAGTAAATACTGTGATAGCAGTAAGCAGACTGACTTCATCAAGTTCTTGGTGTGTTCCAGCTACTAAAAAGAAATAATCTATGAGAAACAGATCCCAACACTGTCATATTTACTGTTATATACAGCTGTGAAGCTGTCTCTAGTTTGGTAGTAATTTCTTTTGTGTACCTAAGGATTACAGACAGTAATACGGACTGACTGACTAAGAATCCTGGCAAATGCTGTAGCTTTAAAATATGCATTTTAAGTAATTCTAGAGTCAAGAATTACCAAAGAAATTACAGTCTTCATAAGTAAAGACATCAGTAAATACTTATATACATTTACTAGGAATATGCATTAACTAGTTATGTGACCTTGGATATTTAACCCCATCTTCGGTTTTCTCATCTGTAAAATGAAAGTAACAGTACTTAAATTTATAAGGTTATGAGGATTAAATGAGTTAATCCTCGCAAAGCATTCAGAATAGCATGTTGCACATAATGCTCAATATAAATTAGCTGTTATATTATTATTTTTATTGTGGAGAAATACAGAAATGCTTGGACAGTTGTTTTTTCTTTGTTAAGTTTAAAGTATTCATATTTTGATAATACACGTGTCAAGCGAAAATAACTTAGCACTTTGTTTGCTACATATACCATTTCTTAACAGTACAGAAAAATTTGAAAATATCTGTGTGTGCCACAATCATTTAAAGGAATTTTCTACTGGATGTAATTTACTTCATTTCCCAAAGTCATACTCTCATTAAATAATTTTAATGAACCTCTTGTGGAAAATCAATGTTATTTGAAAAGGAAAAGGTGTGGCAAATTCAACTCATTAAATTGTGTAAGAATGGATTACTACTTATGAAAAAAATTACATATATATGTAGA